AGAGGCAGCCGCGCCAGGCTCACAGCTGTTTGCCACTTTGCTGTGTTTATGGAAGCGCACAGATGCAGGCATGAGGGGGGTGAGGGAGTCGCAGACCCTGGCGGTCTGGCGTGTCTGCCCCTGCGTCTCTATTTGCACAGTCATCCCAGGTCGCCTCCTCTCTCGATCTGCCCTACGCTGCGGAAATGGGGAAATCTACTTTGGCAGAAATTTTCAACCCATCATTAGCTTAACGTTCAAACCCTTTTGACAAGCATCTCCCACTCCACCCTCAGTGATGGAACGTGCCTCTTGTAACTGGTTCTCCATCGTGTACCTGCAGTTCCTTTGGCTGCATGTTATGTTAAAGGTAAACGCTGTCTTCACTTTGTTGTGAATTCTTGCCACATTCCAACTAGTAGGCACTCGAGGGGGATTTCTGGTTAAAAAACCCACTTAGAGATACCTGCTCCCTACGTGTCCCAAGAGCAGCTCTCCACCTTGCTAGAGGTTGATGGCAGCAGTGTGTGAGACTCGGCTTCATCCCCGTTCAGCCGCTGATCCGGTGGACGGATGGTTCTGTTCCTCCCCCCACTGTGCCCAGAGAGCTCCACACGCCATGACAAATCAGGAACGCTGCCAGCTTGCTACCTGACTCCTCTCTGCTTCCCAACACAACGCGAAACAAGCTCCCGTTTCTCCATGCCGCACGCAAATAGAGACTGTTCTTCAACTTCAGAAATGCCCTTGGCACAGACCGCAGCAGCCTACGAGTCACAGGGACTCTGTCCATCTTTCAGAGCCACGGCCAAGGTGCCGGTCCCAGGAGTCAGGAAGCCCATGGCTCAGGGGCTCTTTCCCTGAGACGGAGGGGGTAAAAGTTCCCTCATCAGTCCCCAGAACCTGGAGCCAAACCCTCGGGGGAATCATGCACTCACTCCGTGTCTCCTTCTCAGAGATCCTGCTGCCAGGCCGGGCTGCCATGTTGCTCAGCTCTAAGTAAGTGGCGCTCGCTGGGCCCTGGTGCCAAGCGCTGTCCTGAACAGAGCGAGGCCCCCGACTGTGTTACAGTTACTGTACTCCCCCTCTGCTTCTTCAGAGGCCCTCTCTCATCTCCCCCGCCCTGCTCTGTGACCCTGGAAACAGACCTTTGCGTGGCATCAGCACCCTTGCCCCCCAGCTCCCCACTGGCAGGAGACGGGAAGGAGGGGAGTGCCGCGTTGCCCTGGGGCTCCGCCCTCACCACTCCACTACCCTCTCAGAGTTCTGGCGCGCACTCTGCCTGTCCTGCCGTCAGGAGCCCGAGGAGATCGCCCTCCCCCTCATCGCCTTCGTCTTTCTAAATGGTTCCTTTAAGAAACTGTTTTCATGCGACGCAGTTCTAGCGGGCCATCACTGATGTCTCGCTGGGATTCTCGCTGGGAGTCAGATGTGACTCAGCGACTGAACGGCAACACCAGGCAGAGCTGACAGCAGCATGGAGAAAAGACCAAAAGCCAAAGCAAACACGCGTGCAGGCGTAATTTATGCAATTTCAGAGAGTGAAAAAGCTGAGAAAAGTAAAACAGGGTCATGGGACAGGGTCACCAGCTGATTCTGCTCACTGCCACTTAATAGCCTAATTCAGCCGGGCACCTCCTTCCGCTTTTTTTTTAAAAATCATGTAGTCATATTGTTACGTACATGTCAATTCCCTGACTTAAGCTGAATAAATTATTTTCTTCAGAAAAAAAAAGAAGGACCATCTGAGTGACACCTAGGGAGAAGAGCTGCGTCCTAGAGTGGCCTGGAAAGGGCCTTCTGAAGAGCGAATGTGTGACAAACACCATAATGATGAGAATGAGGCGACTGCTCCAGCACAGGGAGAAAGAACATTCCAGAACAGCAGGTGCATAGGGTCCCAATGACAAAGAGTTTGCACAGCATGGTCCTAGCAGACTACAAGAGAATGATAGGAGATGGGGTCAGGGAGGGAGGGCACAAAGGAGACTGGGTTTTATCCTAAAGGCACACGGAGAAGTCATCACAGAATTTGGGGCAAGAGAGCTGGAATGGCCACGGTCCTAAGAGAAATCAAATTAAACCATGAAATTGTTTAGCTGGAGAGAATGTGATGAAAGGATTATTCACGCAGGTGTAGGCAGGGCTAGGAACTAATAAAGGGGTGAAGTGTGTGGGAACCAGCGACAGAGGGAAGCTGTTAGCAGCCCTCCATTTGGACGGGACAAGGAAGGAAAGTCGTCCCTGGCGGCTGGGAGGAGGAGTTGCGAAAGAAGGGCCGTGGATGGGAGCTGCGTCAGCTGGTGACTTCCCCAGGGTGTTAGGAAGGTCTGGAGAGTGGAGATGGAGGCAGATCAGGACACATCCTGAGCCACGGGGGATGAGCCCCGGGGAGGATGATGCAGGAGGACGGTCGGACACCCAACCGGCTGCACATGTGACGGGAAGCAGAGAGACAGGGAGGAAGGAATTTCATCATCCGACGGTCACCCTTGGTCCCAATTTGTTGTTCAGTCACTCAATCGTGTCTGCTTCTTTGTGACCTCATGGACTGCAGCACGCCAGGCTTCCCTGTCCTTCACCATCTCCTGGAGCTTGCTCAAACTCACGTCCATCAAGTCGGTGATGCCATCCAACCATCTCACCCTCTGTCGTCCCCTTCCCCTCCTGCCCTCAATCTTTCCCAGCATCAGGGTCTTTTCAATGGCTCTTCACCTCAGGGGTCAAAGTATCAGGACTTCAGCATCAGTCCTTCCAGTGGATACCCAGGGTGGATTTCGTTTAGTTCCGACGTGACTCAGCAAACCCTAATGGTCTTCACAAACAGAAACACCCTCAGGACTGGGGCCCGAAGCTGGGCGGGTCAAGGGGAGGCAAGCAGAAGCCGTGGGCCACAGCACAGGGGGCTGCCAGCCCCAGACGGGCCGCACGGTGCGTGTGGCATAGGCGCGCGCAAGAGCTGTCTGGCCCCTGGAGCCGAGCCACAGCTTCGAGGGCGGTTTACTCAGCCGGCTTCAAGGGCATGCCGAACTTTTCAAAGTCCTTTTACTGCTGAGCTCCCACGGCTCTGTGGGCCAGGAAAGCCTGTCGGGTGTGGGTCTCAGCTGAACAAAGGCTTCGCTGCCTTGCACCTGCTCACACCAAGGGGCCCTTGTCAACTGGCCGGTACAGGCTGGCAGAGATAGATGGCTTCCAGCCCTCTGCTCCTGAGTGCGGAGGAGAACAGAGCTCTTAGTGAGACTCAGATCCAGGGAGAGAAAACACTCTGGGGTTTTCTCAGAGAAGGTACATATATATAGCCTTCTTTTCCCCCTTCTGGTTTCTGCCTTGTAAGATACAGGAGAAAAAACCAACAGAGCATTGCTCTCTTAAGAAGCCTCAGCTGCCCCCAACTGACATTATCCAGTCTTTCCAAATGTTTTTAGCAGCATGAATCTTTTTACAAACAAGTTTGCCACAGAATCTTCATGTATATATAACACAGATGACGTCCCAGTGGCCATTCCCTAGACTTTCCCACAGCCTTGATTCCAGGCAGCTTAGCAGCATCCTCCTGAATGTGTGTACGTGTGAGGTTCACTGAGGTATGATTTACATACAGTAAAATTCACCCTTTTTAGGCATACAGTTAGATGAGCTTTGACATGGTCTTGTAATAATACCACAATCCAGACACAGAATGGCTCCATCATTCCCCAAATTCCCTCCTGCCCCTTGCCCCCACCTCCACTCCCCACAACCACTGGTCTGATGTCTGGCCGTGAATTTTTGGTGATTCCAGGACATCACATAAATGGAGTCAAGCAGTAGGTAACCTTTTGTGTCTGGCTTCTCCCATTCCAGCCTAATGCTTTTGAGAGTCAGCCATGGGTTTGCACATTATCAGTAATTTGTTCCTTTTTATTGCTGAGTAGAAGTCTGTTCTTGTGTGGTTTCCAAAGTTGTCCTTCAGGTTCTGATTCTTTTCTACGTAGAACAGGAAGCTCCCATTCAAATAATCTTCTTTCTGCCCGAGAACACTGAGACGGAGCCGTGGAGGCCACTGCCGGAGCACGAGTGGACGGTGGCTGCTGACCCCGGCAGGGTCGCGGGCGTGCCTGCACTCACCAGGGCCCCCTCGCCTCCAAAGCACCTCCGACTTGCCCCAGGACTAGGGTTCCTTGGAATCTTTAAATCAAAGCAAGGGAATATTGCTTGCTATTTCTTTCAAATTGTAGTTAGCAGACCAATTCTTGAGCTGGGGAAAGAATAAAAGGGAACGCATGGAATGGAAAAGAAACCATGGCCACTAAAGGTCGTCAAAGGACAAAGCTGTGTGACCCAAACACAAATCTGGGCAACTAACTACAACCATAACCTTTAGCCTTGGCCACGGCTCATCTGACTGTGCAGTGACAAGGAGCTTTGGATTCTCAGTCCTGCCACCTGACCAAGAGCTTTCATTCCTCTCCCAAAAGCCATGCTGCTCGCCGACCAGCTCACTGAGTGGGGACCTGTGTGCGGAGAACAAGGCAGGGGAGGCGGGGCAGCAGGGTGCGCCCACAGAGCCGGGTCTCAGGGCCTTGGGTGCCCTGCTCCGGAGTCTGGAACTTACACCACAGGCAACAGGAAGGAGCTGAGGGCTTTAGGTAGCGGCGGGTCAGTGTGCCTGCTGGAGCCCCTCCACTGTCCAGGGTAGGGAAACCTGCTGGGGGACCCTGCCATGGTTCAGGAGAAAGGTGATGCATCAGCAAGATGATCGAGAAGAAGGAAACCATCTCAGAGACATGCGGGATGCAGAATTAGCAGAGTCTGAAAGAAGGTGAGAGAAAGGACGGTGCAAACAACAGCTCTTAGTTACCCCAAATAACACTGCGAGGCAGGTGTCCTGTCCATTTCACAGATGACAAAACTGAGCCTAGGGAGGCTGCAGTAATGTGCCTGAGTTTACGAGCTAATGGGGCGGAAATCATACCACGTAACTGAGGCCCTGCGCTCGGGATCACTCAGCTGTGTGACAGTGAGAAACCCACTTAAGGGAGTACTGGAAATCACCTTTAAAAAGCCAAAAACTTGCTTTGGGAAGAGAGTGTCCTTGAGTCCTCATAGAGTAGTGTTTGGGCAGTTACCATCAGTGAGCTAAGTGGAACAAGCAGAGTGTAAGAGGGCTTGCCCGGTTCTCATCTTCCTCACTTATCCTCTTTCGTCCTTCCTCTCGCATCTGGGGAAGAGAGATTTGTGTAATAACGAGTTAGTGTCTGAGAGCATTTTCAGCAAAGCCTGCTGCCAGCTGCCTCTTCTGACCCAGACACCTCCCCCAACATCATTTTATTCCTTTCGGGTAAGTGGCCTCCTCCCCACTTCCCAACTGCTCTGGAGATGAAAGAAGGCAGTGAGGGATTTATCCTTTTTCCCATAATATTGTGGCTGTAATTTAAAGCTGCCATAACTCATGTGTAGAACTGTGACCATAATACCATGGAAAAAGCCATCATTCAACCCCCAAAGGAAGGAATGTGGAGTCCTGTTTCTTCCAGCTGTAAATTGCCTCAAAACCAACAGACAGCTCAGGGCACAACCAGACAATGGAAACTAAGATTTGGAAACTTACCCGTGATGAATTGGTTTTTTTTTTTCTTTTCTCCATTTTCCCCCATTTCACTAGAATCAAAAATAATTTTTTGTATTAGAAGGTGACCAGGACCAGATGATTGACCTCTATTCAGCTAATAAATGACTCTCTAAATTTGGGGGATGCCCTAAAAGACTCTCAGAACTGTATTAAATTTGCAGATAATAGAACCTGGTCAAGTTGAGTTGGATCAGTTAGACTAGTTCTGTGACGATACCAGCTATGAGTCCTCCAGGCACCATGGTGCCTGTTTTCCCTTTGTTTCTGGGATGGTCTGTTCCAGACCTGTAATTTCTCTCACTCTATTCTTGTCCATGCTTCCCAGCTGTGGGTGAATATAACGGCCTGTGCTATGGTTAAAACTCACTGCCCCAATTATTCTCCAGTGAGCTCAGGCAGGAGATCCCGAATCCCTAAAATCTGCTCCCTGTATGCCCTGTCACACTCAGCTCTGTCCAGGATGCATCACCTTCTATGCATCAAGAACATTGTCCATGCTTTGTGCTCACTGTATGTCTCATTTCATCCTCACCACAACTCTGCAAGTTATAGATGATCATTCCCAACTTACAGCTGAGGAAATGAAGCTATCAAGTGTCTCTATGAGTAAGGAGAAGAAAAATTCTAACCCCGGTCAATGGAACGCAAGAACTCAGTGCTCCTGCCTCTCCTGGTTCACCACTCTTTCAGGAGGTGAGATGTATATGACCTCTTAGAAAAAGGAGGACAGAATTCTCAGAAATGTTACTGCATGTGTAAGGGTCTTTAAAAATTTTTTTCTTTATTTTTGGCTATGCTGGTTTTTCACTGCTGTGTGGGCTTTCTCTAGTCGAGGAAAGTGGGGGCTACTCATTAGCTGCAGCGCTCGGGCTGCCCACTGCAGGGGCTTCTCCCGTTGCTGAGCACGGGCTCTCGTGTGCGCAGGGCTCAGGAGCTGTCATGCAAGGGCCCAGGAGTCGGGCTCCCTGATTCTAGAACACAGGCTCGGGAGTCGGGCTCCCTGATTCTAGAACACAGGCTCAGGAGCCGGGCTCCCTGGCTCCAGAACACAGGCTCGGGAGTTGGGCTCCCTGATTCTAGAACACAGGCTCAGGAGTCGGGCTCCCTGGCTCCAGAACACAGGCCCAGGAGTTGTGGTTCATGGGCTTAGCTGCTCCACGGCATGTGAGATATTCCCAGACCTGGGATTGAACCCATATCTCTTGAATTGGCAGGTGGATTCTTTACCCCTGAGCCTGGAGGGAAGCCCCGAACTTCTAAATCAAATATTGCCTAAATGTTTCTATTATTTACTTTTGAAGTTAGTAAGTCTCGATTCTTGTGCTTGTGCCTTCAGGTTACGAGTTCAGATTCGAGGGTTAGATGGCTTAAATTCAACTCCAATCCTGTCAGTTTGGTTGGGCAATAAAGTCAGTAACCTCTCTGTGTCTTGGTTTTTTCCTCTTAGAATGAAGATTCTAAGTAGTACACACTTTACAGTACTCTAAATTTTAAAAGGATACATTGACACAAAATGTCCAACACAGGTGTGGCAAGTGGGTTTGTGTGGTTGACTTACACTGGGGGCCTCAAATGAACCATGCCTTCCAATACTAAGCCCTTGGGTAATGTCCTCCCTTCAAGTCCTCTGGACTTGGCTGGATAACTTGCTTTGGCCAATGGGATACTAGCAAGTGGTATGGAAGCAGAGTCTTAGTCAATTCTTGCATATAGGGGTTTGTCTTCGGACATTTGCTCTCGAAGCCCTGAGCTACCATATAAAGAAGTTAGGTGATCCTGTTGGAGAAACTCCCTGGAGATAAAGAGAAATACCAACTCAAACCCTAGCTGTTCTGTTGCAGGCATCCCATCCAGCAAGATATCCATCTTGGACATTCCAGCCCTAGAAGACACCATGTGGAGCAGAAGCAGAAGTACCACCCAGCTGAGGCCAGTCAACCCACAGACTCCTGCCTGCCCAGTCGCTTCAGTCATGTCTGACTCTTTGCAAGCCCATGGAGTGTAGCCCTACATGCTCCGCTGCTCATGGGATTCTCCAGGTAAGAGCACTGGAGTGAGCTGCCATTTCCTCCTCCAGGGGATCTTCCAGACCTGGGAATTGAACCCGTGTCTCTTACATTTCCTGCATTGGCAGGCAGGTTATTTACCACTAGTGCCACCTGGAATACTAAGAAATAATAAAATGTTCTTTTAAGCTACTACATGTTGTAGTGGTTTGTTACATAGCAGCAGGTAACTGAGATTAAAAAGTCCTTTCAATAAATGTCAGCTATTTTTTTAAGTTGTCATCATTATCCATTGACTTTATTTCCTCCAAAATAATAAACATTAAGACATAAAAAACTGTGTTCCTCAATATCTCCTTCATTCAACAAAAATGTGGTGTGTTTCTACCACGGGCTGATCAACAAGGATTTGTCTCCCATTTTTTAAAAAACATGGTGTTTCCCCCCACAAGGATTCTTGCATAGGAATTCTGAACTCTTAGATTTGCAAAACAGACAAATTTAAATTTCTCATCTTGTTGGAATACTATTTATTGAGTGACTACAATGTTTATCCATTTTAAAAACCTTTTAAAAATGCATGAAGCGATGAGTGCAGAACCCGACCTTATTTTTCATATCTCCCTGACTCTTGATAGGAAGTTGAAAAATACTCAACACTACATCAAAACCAGGCGCTCAAGGATAAAAGGGCCTTTGAAAGGTCAGCCAGTCTGCTCCAGTCTAGGTAGGCTTTCATCACAGCTTCCCAGAGAGCAGCCAAGGCTCCTGTTTTTAAAGATCTGCAAGTAACATTCCTACAGAAGCAACCGCAAAGCCCTTCACGCACTGATGCTTCCAGAGGAAACCAGGGCGTGGGGCTCACTGGGCCTTCCCTCTCTGTCTCCTACACACAGGTGCTAAGTCATGTCAGCTGCAACCCCATGGCCAGGAGCCCACCAGCCTCCTCCGTCCGTGGGACTCACAAGGCGGGAATACCAAAGTGGGTTGCCACGCCCTCCACTTCCTCCTAAATTCATGGACTGCTGTAATTCAGGGTCATGTTTGTGGCCCTAAAGTGCCATTTGGTTGAAAATCACCCACAGACATGATGAGTTAAAACAATCGGGTGGTAGCGAGAGCTTGAGTGTGAGCAAACTCTGGGGGATGGTGATGGGTGGGGATGCCTGGCATGCTGCAGTCTCCCTGGGGTCACAAACAGTCGGACACGCCTTAGTGGCTGAAAAGACAGAGTCTGTCTCCTTCCACAGCTCTCCTGTGGCCAGGACCTGCGGTCCTTCATCTCCTCAAAGACTGCCTGACTTCAGTTGTTGATAGGACACAGGAGTTTTAGCCTTGCATTAGTCCTCCATATCTCACACCCTGTTAATCTCATTTTAAAATCCGAGAGCTAGGAGACGGAGTCTAATCCAGCTCCCACACTTATGTGCTGTCATCATTTTAAAATATGAATGAGAGTGGGAGTGGGAGGTCAGAGAGGGACCAGGAAAAGCACTTGGCCTGGAGACAAACATTCACAAAGCATCTCAAATGTGAATTGTGGATGTTATTTCCTAAAAAGGCATTATATATAGATGCTTCTTGTTCAAATCTAAACTGTGTCCTGTGATGGACCCACACCTCATCTCAGGTACTGCAAATTAATTAAAGAAAAACAAACATGCAATCACCCGAGAACAGCACACTTATACGGGCTCCCCTGGGCTCACCAGTAAAGCATCAGCCTACAATGGGGGAGCTGCAGGAGACGTGGGTTCAATCCCCAGGTCAGGATGGTCCCCTGGAGGAGGCGCGCTGGTAACCCACTCAGTATTCTTGCCTGGAGAACTCCATGGACAGAGGGGTCTGGTGAGCTACAGTCTATAGGGCTGCAAAGAGTTAGACATGTCTGAAGCGACTTAGCATGGTACGGCCTAGCAGTTATACACTACTGTGTTTTCTGAGTTAAAATTATACCTTGCTAAGGTAAACTTTAAAATACGCCACAGTTTTGTGATCCTGCTTTGACAAACCTTTAAAACAATAATTGTGAAGCATCTGTGAATCTTATATGCTAGGAGGGCTTCCCTGGCAGCTCAGCTGGTAAATAATGCCTGCAATGCATGAGGCCCTGGGTTGGGAGGATACACTGGAGGAGGAAATAGCTACCCACTCCAGTATTCTTGTCTGCAGAATTCCCCATGGACAGAGGAGCCTGGCAGGCTACAGTCCACGGGGACACAAAGAGTCAGACACGACTGAGCGACTTTCACTTTCGGTGTATGCTAGGAATTTAGCAGTTGACATCACAAGCTGGTGAAATGGGAACTATTTCCAGCCCATTTACAACTGAGGAAACTGAGGCACGGACATGATAAGAAGTAGGCCCAGGGCCCAGGTAACCGAGCAGAACCTTATGAAGCCTTCCCGGAATAGGCCCCCACCCATGCCTTCTGCCTGCCTTTTGTCTGTAGAAAAACTTTAGTCAAAGAATAAGTTTAATTACAGAAGTGAGAAAATGCAGAAAGAAAGGGGAAAAAAAAGACAAAATAATAATACTTTAGCCATTAAACAAAGTCGGGTCTATAGATTCTATCTCAAGGTCTGTAGATAATATTGTCACGTCCTGTGAGCTGTTTTGCAGATACTGAAACCCCCACCAGGTGGGAGAAGTCAACTGTATGCTGCCCACAAGCATGGAGACCCCAGACTGGACGGAACCAGAAGGTTGAAGATGTTGACTCCCAATTACCCCACCGCCAACCAATCAGAAGAATGTCCATGAGCTGATAACACCTGCTCCCGGAACACTACAACTCTCCTCACTATGCCCTCATGGTTGGGACAGATGGAGGGCATTAGCCTGCTGTGGCCCCCTGTGCCTGACAAACCCATAGGAGCTACTCTTTTCTATGTCACCCAAATCGCTGTCTCCATGTTCCCATTTGGCATCAGTGAACAGAGGCTGAGTTTTAGGCACACCCCCCGGTGACGGAGCACAGAGCTCAGATGCAAGCTGTGGTACCTGGCTCTAGGGGTCATGTGTTCAACCCCTAACTCTGCTGTGACCTTGATGTCTGAGTCTCCACACACAGGGAGGATCCCTTCTATCTCTAAGAAGTGCTGGAAAGAGAAGGTGGGGAAGAGGGGCATGAGAACTGTGTGGTTGTTGAAACACAAACTGCAGGGCCTGCTGGAGCCAAGGCGAGGCTGCCTTCGAGGAACCCATCAGGAGCAGCCTGTCCTCCCAGCGGCCGCCAGGGCTTGGCCCGCACTGTGCTTCTGCACCCCGCCCCCGCCCCCGCCACACGCGCCTTCTGCCCTTCCTCCAGGCTCCGTCTCCATCTCTAGGCCTCAGGATTCCCGCATGTGAGGGCCCCGAGTCCCTTCCTCCAGCTGCTCCTCTCTCGCCCAGTCTGCGCCCCGCCCTCAGGGGCTCCCGAGTGGAAGCCACGCTCTCACCCGAGATGGGCCGCGGAGAACCCAGGATCCAGAATTTCTACCGCCTCAGGCTCTGGGTCGACCTCTCTGGGCCCAAGGTCCTGGGAGCAGAGGAGTGTGAGAGAGAGGAAGGCGGACGGCCCGGGAAGCCCACTGCAACCGGGGAGGTGGGGAGACGCGCGTTTGCGTCGTAAGCAGTGTCCTGGAAGCCTGCTGACGCTGCGATTCGGCCTTCGGGGTACACGTGTAGTCACCTGCAGGTGACGTCACTCACCACGGTGCCCGCGAGCCTGGCCCCTCGGCCACGGTTGCTGGAATCACGAAGAGTCATGGGCACAGAGGATGTGAGCTTTGTAATGTCCCACAACATGTTTGGGGCCTGAAAAATAAAAATGGATGACTGTAACAGAAAAATAAACCATAAAATAAAAGTCTAATGAAATGCTTACAAACCGCAACAGTGTACCGCCTAGTCAGTAACAAGTCAGTTCATACGTAATCAACATGTAATGCAGACGGCGGGTGGATTTCCATCTGATTTAATACATTTGCAATGATCTTCAACTGGCACTGAGGTAAAAGGCTTGCTCCCTCTGAGGCCGGGCGCAGTGAGGACAGGAGTATAAGTGCTGGCGGATTTGCATAGAGAGGAGGGTTCATGGGTGGGCATGACAGACCCGTAAGAGAGGGCGGAGGGAGACAAAGGGGGCCCTGTCAAAGATGCTCACAGGTTCCCCAAAGTAAGCCCTTCCCTCTCGCTCCTCAAACTTAAGCAAAATTCCAAAAATTACAGTTTTGATGCAATTAAATTTCTTGCAGAAGTCAGCAAAGGGTGTGGGTGGGGGACCGAGGCGGGAGTTTTGCCTCTGTCTCAGCATCTCTAAAAGTGAACCTGCCGCTGTCTGCAGTTGACAGCAGCCGGGTTTGGGACATCCACCCTCTATGCGGTAGAAAATTCACATATAATTTAAAGTCAGCCCTTGGCATGGGGGCTCTTGCAATTGTCTGGGGGACAGATAGTGGCTCTGGAACTACGAGGTATTGGGCACCCAGGGAGAAATACAGGACAAGGTTCTTCCACATCCATGATTCTGCATCCACGTATTTAACTAACTGCAGATCGTGTAGTACGTAGTATTTCCTATTGAAAATAATCCATGTGTATAAGCAGACTCACACAGTTCAAACCCATGCAGTTCAAGGATCCACTGTATTTCTCCCTGGATGCCCAATACCTCATAGTTCCAGGGCCACTATCTGGCCCCAGGCAATTTCAAGAGCCCCCCACAATGGGTCTCCTACTTTTCTGCAATCTTCCTTCCACAAAAATAGAAACTGAGGTCTTTAAAAACCATAAGGCAGAAGCCTTCAGAGCCCAACTAAAAATGAACTCCCATCCCCCCGGCCTTTCACAAAGCCTTTTGTGACCTGGCCCGCCTTGGCCACTCATCTTCTTTTCCAGCCCCCTCTCCTAAGTGCATCTAACCCCTGCTACTCATCCTCCTCATCCAGCCTAACCTCAAAGCCTTGATCCTGATCGTTGTCTTTGCCTGCAGTTCCTCCCCCAGACCTGCAGGCCATCAGGCTGGTCATTCAGGTCCCAATCAGAGGTCACCTGTCAGGGAGAACTTCCCTGAGCCCCCAGGGGAAATTCACCCCCCACCCCACATCTCCTTGTCTCCTTTTCTTCATCAAACTTTTCACTCCCTGGAGCTAGCTTTTCACATACATAATTCTTTTGCTCTTGTCTGCTTCTTTGCCTGCCTCTCACGTACTAGGACGGAAGATCCTCCAGGACAGGGACTTGCCATCGATGCAATGGTGCCTGGGATGCAGAGGTGGTCAGTAAATGCTTGCTGAAAGAACGAGAAGAAAAATGAATAAGTGGGTTTGAATCGACACGGCCCACAGGAGTGTGAAAATCATGGGAATTCTTTGAGTTCCTCTGATCGGGGGTAAACTAATTTTAACTAACCCTCCAAGGGGTCTTCAAGTAACATCTGGTTTATGTATGTATTTAATTACACCTTTACCTCATTGCAAAAGAATTTGTGGGCATTTTCAAAGATTACATAGAGTGCAGTAAAAATTGTTTTAAAGGAAATAGTAAATATGGAGAGGAAATAAGCACTGAAAAAATAAGATAAAATGATGGCAAGATTAGTAATTAGAATACCTATCACAGAGTTCTTTCTTCCTTGACGGAAGAGGACTGTAAATTTGACTTTGAACTTATTAGCTAGTGACAGCTTATCTACATTAACGTCCTTAAAAATGAGGAAAGGGTAAAACTTTCCTTATTGAATTTTCACCTGTTAGCCATGAGTCATAACAGCTAAGCTAACATTCAACATGTTTCCAATTAATTCTACTAACCTCAGTTACAGCACTATGATTTGTTATCAATCAGTATTTATTAAACATCTGCACACAAAGGGCTCATGCATTCCAACAAATTCATGCCTTCCTCCTGTGCTGCCCTAATAACATGGCAGGATTCTGACTACGCGAAACATTTACAGGGAGCAGAGCCTGCCGGAAGGCTCCTTGACAAGCCCTCTAGGGGACATAGGTCTGACACAGCTTACTCCTACCCGGGAGAAAATTCTTATTTGAGTTTAATGTACAGGCTCCTTAATAATACTGAGGTTCAGTTTCTTCCTCTGCCTTCTCACCCCACTTTTCCAGAATAAAGTCCCTCATTGGTTTAATTTTTTCCTAAAGTGCACAGATTTTCCAAAATTCTGCTCATCTCCATTTCTCTGGAAGCTTCCCCTATTCTCCCTCTCCCTCTCTCTGCTACACACACGTTTTTGGAAGGCAGGATGGCATAGTGTTGAAAGCATGGGCCATGGACTATTGGCCAGACTGCTTAGTATTTGTGTGTCTCAGTTGCCTGCTTGCAAAACTGTGGATGACAAATGTGTTTGTACACGTAAAGTGCTTAGAACAGAGCCTGGCACAAGGCAAGCACTATGTGAACTCAACTATCTTTATGATTACATGCTATTCCCCTTTAAAGTGCCCCTCCTTCCTCGTGTCCCTCAGCAGAAACTATCTTTATTCCTGTTGTCTTCTGTCTCCATGTCTCTGAACATTCCTGGTGTTTCTTTCCCCTCTTCTTTGATTGGAAAACTCCTATTCATCCTTCAAAACTGATTTGAGATACTTCCTCCTGCAGAAAATCTTCCTTAGTTGACACACCCAGCCCTCCCTGGGACTCCCCTGGCAGCCTGCGCATCTCTCTGTCACAGCCTTAGAATACTGTGAGGTGTTAACTGTTTGCTTGCCTGTCTCTGAAAAGGACTTCTGAGCCAAAGGCTGAAACTTGACCCTTGGTGCCCGCGGTGTCTGGCAGATTGATTGCTACGCGGTGGCTGCCCAGGTCTGGGCTGGTTGAAGTAAAATGAGCACAGGACTGATCCCACGGACAGAAAATCAGCCAAGAGAATGACCGTACCCCATTTCTCCCGCGTTCCATACTCAAGCATTGCAGTGTCAGGCTTGCTTTTCTGAGAGTGAAAGGCTTATTGCTCCGTCATCTTGGACTCTCTGCGACCCCACGGATTGTACCCCGCCAGGCTCCTCTGTCCCTGGAACTCTCCAGGGAAGAATACTGGAGGGGCTAGCCATTTCCTTTTCCAGGGGATCTTCGCAATTCAGGGACTGGACCCAAGTCTCTTAGATTGCAGGCAGATTCGTTACTGTCTGAGCACCAGGGATGCCTGCTTTTCTGGCTGGGACTAAAAGAAACTGTATTTGTATTCTTTATCATTTAAATAAACATTTAATTCATCATCATATTAATAGGAATAATTCATCATTAAATAGGAAACAAAGTCCTACTTCCCTCCCAAAACACATTTCAGGAAAGTGGCATAAATGTTGGACCCTTCACCGGGCCCTGGATTCAAACCCCAATTCTGCCTCTCCTAGTGGTGAAGTTTGGGGCAGAGCAGTTCACTTCCTTGGATTTCGATGTTTGCACCTGTAAAACAGGCGTTGTGATGCTTGTGATGGTAGATGTGAATGTGCTTTTAAAACAGCATAGCATTCCTCTGTGGATGTGAGAGAGTGTTATTTGAGGAGAAATCTTGGTGTCTAGACTTACACACTTATCTAATTAAGGGGCAGGGAAACTATTTCAGTTCAAAGGTTAACTGGAGATAATATTCCCTTTCAATCAAGATTCAGCTCTGCAACGTTTTGCAAATTTATATCTTCAGTTGCATTGTTTCATTAGATGTTAAAAGATGTTTCCCTACAGCTCACATAAACGGCGCTGCTGAGGAAGGCAGGGTGTTCGTGCGTCCCAAACCCTTAGCTCTGCAGGGCTTGCTGAGTGTCCAGGGCAGAGGATGACTCTGTAATTTTACCAAAGGGAGGTGGGGGCAGGGCCGACCATCAGGGCAAAGTCCAGTTTGCATACTCCAAACACAGGGCTGTGTGAATTATGACTATTTTTACATGGCGGCTGAACCATGAAAACTTACACGTAATGATTTGTCAGCTAGAATATGTCTACATGCCAGTCCTTTAATTTTTCTTTGCTGCTTTCTAATTTTACTGTGATGATAACAAACAAAACCACAGCACTGCCATCAGAAACCAGAGCATGTCCATGAATAACTAACAGAGTGCATACAGTTTTCCCAGTGAATTTTCAAAGCCAAGTGTGGGTTGGCTTTTGTACATAAATTGCCAGTGCGCCTTTTCCATTCTGGTGGGAGCTCTCTGAAGGGAACATTACAGCTGTGATGAATAACAGTCCCTCTAAAGAAGCTGGCGTGAGGCACGCATTTCATCCCACTGACTGGAACACTGTGCCCATCGCCAAATGTGCCGGGTCTCCCACCATTAAATAAATATATACATATGTCACTTGGCTTTGTTTCCAAGTCCTGGTTCTATAGAAACCAAGCACTTTATTACTATTAATAATACTACAGTTATAATAGATTCAAAACCAAGGAATGGTGCTTTGTCCTTAAATGGTGACCTTGATTACATTTCCCATTGTTCATTATTTATTACTTACAGCATCTTTTAACTCTTCCCTTACCACTGCAATAAATGGCGGTATTCTAATATAAACTAGCTCTAAGCAGCCAATATTCTAATCAATGAATCTATAAACATAACATTGACCTCACAGCATAGTAAGTTAACATTTATTATGTGACAGGTATTTTCCTAATTATCACTATTCCCATTTTACAGATAAGGAAACTGAGGTTAAAAGGTTAAGTTAAGGTTAAATGACTTCTCTAACATGGCTTATCTTGAATTTGAACCTAGACCACTACATTCTAATGCTTCTCTATGTAAGTAAAGCATTAAAGCACTGTTTGATTTTTTTTCCCCAAGCAGTGGCAGAATTATAACCATCCCCGTGGTGTATAGAGAGCCTTTTTGAGAGATAATACTCATCAGTGATCTTGCAATAATTATTGCCAGGATGCTTTTTTTGGAAATGCTGTTTAACAAAATAACTCAGGGTCTTAGTTATAATCAATGAAGAAAATTTGGAGGCAAATAATGCTTTCTGTTTCTTTTAAAAATTGTAATAGATGTAATTTTTATCTTACAATAACATCGCTTAGCTTTTGGGTGTTTGCTATAAGCTTTACCCTGCCCTCTGCCTTGTCTCTCTCCACCCCACCACTAGCCTGAAGAAGCGTGCGGCACCCGCAGGTCAGTAGCCCAGCCCCCAGTCTCACATGCATCCCCGGCTACAGTGTGTGCCTGCTGCTTATGGAGCTAAATCCAAAATCCTACTGTCAAAGCCCTCATCAACATGGCTTCATCTTGTCCATTCTCATTCCCCACAACTGCTCAGCATGTATCCTTACTCTCATTGTAATCTCAGTCCCAGCGACTGCCCTGTCTTTGAGACACACACTGCTTTATTCCTGATTCCACACCTTCGATTATACACTTCCTGCATTATGGAATGCTCACTCTCAAAGGGTGATGAAACTTGAGATTCATTTCTTCCTTGACGCCAACCATTCTAACGCATGTTGCTTTCCCCTGGACTTCTTCCTTTTTCCTCAAGTTTGATTCATTTTTTCAAAATGGGTGCAGTAATTCCTTGTGTCTCCTGGATGATGTGAATTCTAATTGTTTCAGCATTTTCTTCTGCTCTCTTCATCTCCCCTCATCAATCTGCATTCCTTTAGCCTGTATGTTTGTTTTAGGGTCACTTTCCTTCATATTGGAGGGTTTTACAGTATTGGTGATCCTGGGTCTCTGTTTGTATTTCAGAGGGTGGAATTAAGGTATGTGAAAGCTCTGGATGTATGAGCAGTATGAACTTCTCCATAAAAGAAAAATGGCAAATTTTAATAAAAACAATAGCCTGAAAAGATATCCAAGGGAAAGCAATCCATTCTAAACTAAAGATTCATGAACAATGGAAATTTTGCTCATGAAAATAATAACTGTGTAGATGCAGAAGGAACTTATTTTATTCTAGAGCCTAGTTCAACTGCACACTGAAGAGACAAAGTTGAAATGATAGATCTTCAGTAAAGCAGCTCCACAGTTTATAACAAAGTATAATAGCTCTTTTAATTCTGAACAGATAAACAAAATTGTTTTTAAAGCAACTGTTTAGAAAATTAATCTGACAGAATATCTAAAAGTGCATTGATGCCCAATGGAAATTTTTGAAAAACATAATTTAGAGAAGCGTAAAATAGTGTACACTTTCTCACAGTTTCCTTGTTTTAACCATCTTACAAAAATATTCATTTAAAATCACTTTGACTCTTTAAGAATTCTGTGGGTTATTGGTTTTTTTTTTTTTAATCCTTTTCACTTCATGGTTTCCTTTCCTCAGTAATTAAAACTGCAGTATATCAAAAACAAGCAAATGGGGAAAATACTCCTCAAGACTGTTTTTCCTGTCTTGTTAGCACGTCTTCAAAATAAAATATTCTTAAAAGTTTTTCAGAAGATACTGAATTCACTGTGATCCTCAAGTGAAATGAAACTTGTAAATGCTATCAAAATCTCCTTAATTCACTCTCACATATTAAATCATTTTGTCATAATAATCTCATTGATTCATCATTCCTGTTTTTTCCCTCTTTACCTATTCTTTTATCATTACCTGTTGGTGACCCTGATAGGTAACAGTACCTTTGTTGTTCACCAGTTCTGCCTGATTTATGTGGGTGAAGGAAACAGTGTCACAAATGGCAACTGCCTGGCTTTACACAGGTGCCTGGAGGATGGCTCACTGATTAATGAGTCTCAATTTGAAGGAATCACTCATATGGTTTTTTATAGCTTGACTCTCTGCCCAATGAGGTAATGGGAAAAGTTTCCACTTGCCTTAAAGATGATTCCTTGTGTATTATATCAAAAAGGAGCTGAGGGTTGCAATTTAACTTGTAAGATATCATCTGAAATATTAAAGTGGAGAAAGTGAAGTCAGCAGACAAACTGAAGTGGCAGGGGATTAAGCACAGCTGCAGACAAAGTTATCCTGGTTCACAGCGTGCTCTGAGCTGTACCTTAAACTCACGGGGCGGAGCTTTGAACTATATACATCCCAAACCAGGCTCCGTTCTAGATCTAGTGAAACAGGCCTGAGAACCCGCACATTTTAAGTTCCCAGGTAATTCTAGTGCAGTGCGAGGACTGAGGACTACTGAAACAACAGGACAAGATGGATTACACATGGATAAGAGTCATGATGCTGCCCGTGTCTTCCAGGGCTCCCCAAGTGGCACTAGTGCTAAAAAACCCACCCGCCAATGTAGGAGACAGAAGAGAAGTGGGTTTGATCCCGGGGTCTAAGAAGATCCCCTGGAGGAGGGCACGGCAACCCACCCCAGTATTCTTGCCTGGAGAATCCCATGGACAGAGGAGCTTGGCAGGCTCCAGTCCCTGGGGTCGCAATGACCCTGACATGACTGAAGTGACTTAGCACACACGTCTTCCCAGTTCTGGGTCAGGCACACAATGGGAGAGGGTGCAAACACACACAGAAGGTGTGGCTCCCCCTGCTGAGTTTCCCATCCTACCTGAGAGACAAGCCCAAGCGAAGATAACTGAACGCAGCACAGAGCAAAGTGCAGGGAGGTGGATGCCACGCCTACAGGGATTCTGGGAAGGAAGACCCCCATGGTGCGAAGGGTAAAGGGGCTTCGCAGGGGAAGCACTGAGTTGGGGGCTTTGTGGGGAGCAAGGGGAGGTTGTTCCCTGCAGGTGAGACAGAGAGCAAGGGAAGGAGTGTGCGTGGGGCATGAAAGTAGTGTGCAGGCTGCCCTGGGGCTGCTTGCCCCATCACCACTTCCCACTGACGCTTTACATCGGCCCTTACTGAAACTCCTTGGTGAAGTATCATGACGGGTGAAGAGCTGTGCCTTAGAGATTTGAGGAAGCTGCTCATCCCCTCTCCTAGCAGAGCATTCAGGCAAGGCAGCCAAGTGACCTGGTCCTCAGGGACCGAGGAGGAAGGAGGGAACCTGTTACCTGCAGCTGTGACACCAGACAGGAAGAGTCTGCAGCATCCAGGTGGAGTCACGGGAGCAAACTGGCCTTGAATGCAAGAGCACCTGAGGCCCTTGACAGAAATCCACATCGCAGTGAAGAGGCTCACGGGCCAAGCTCACCAGAATCAGGGCAGAAGGTCAAGAGTGGCCCAATGCAGCATTGGAGACAGGCAGCCCTACCTAGGGCCAGGCACCTCCACACTCCTGGAGGCAGGCGAGTGTGAAGCAGGAAGTTCTGGATGCCACAAATATTTGTAACAAATTAACTAGCATTCAAGTATTTTAATATTGTTATACAAAACACTATATAATATTATTTTTAAGCACCATGCACCTCAGCCTGCCTCATTCCATACCTGACCCCCAGAACATGAGGAGACATTCTGGCACCTGTGACAAACAGCAGGAGACGTTCTCCTCCAAATCAATTTTATAATTCATGACGCGGCTCACAGATGGGCATTATTAACAGTGCACACCATCTGGCGACTTCCCACTTCAAACCATCACTCTTGCTAAATAGATGTTAAGCTTTCAAAGTCATTATTTACAATTTTTGTATTCTCTAAATCTCGGTGCCTTAGGTTCAAGCCTTCTCTTATGCCTGACCCCTGGACCACCCCTCCTCCAGCTAGTAGAGGTGTGACTGAGACCGGGGGTGAGGGTATGTTGTGTTCATATACTGGAATTCATGGAAGAATGTAAATGCTATGGCATCCAAGAGGCCATGTCCAAACAGTACAGATCCTTCATGTGATGGAATGAGTCCCCTTTGGGGACCCAGGAGGGACAAGAGACTCATGGAATCAAAGCAAGCTAAAGGTAAAGGAGAAAAGGAAAGATATACCCATCTGAATGCAGCATTCCAAAGAATAGCAAGGAGAGATAAGAAAGCCTTCCTCAGTGATCAATGGAAAGAAATAGAGGAAAACAACAGAATGGGAAAGACTAGAGATCTCTTCAAGAAAATGAGAGATGCCAAGGGAACACTTCATGCAAAGAGGGACACAATAAAGGACAGAAGTGGCATGGACCTAACAGAAGCAGAAGATATTAAAAAGAGGTGGCAAGAATACACAGAAGAATGATACGAAAAAGATCTTCATGACCCAGATAACCACGATGCTGTGATCACTCACCTAGAGCCAGACATCCTGGAATGCAAAGTCAAGTGGGCCTTAGGAAGCATCACTACAAACAAAACTAGTGGAGGTGATGGAATTCCAGCTGAGCTATTTCAAATCCTGAAAGATGATGATGTGAAAGTGCTGCACTTGACATGCCAGCAAATTTGGAAAACTCAGCAGTGGCCACAGGACTGGAAAAGGTCAGTTTTCATTCCAATCCCAAAGAAAGGCAATGCCAAAGAATATTCAAACTATTGCACAGTTGCACTCATTTCACACACTAGCAAAGTAATGCTCAAAATTCTCCAAGCCTGGCTTCAACAGTACGTGAACCGTGAACTTCCAGATGTTCAAACTGGTTTTAGAAAAGGCAGAGTAACCAGAGATTGAATTGCCAACATCCACTGGATCATGGAGAAAGCAAGAGAATTCCAGAAAAACACCTATTTCTGCTTTATTGACTATGCCAAAGCCTCTGACTGTGTGGATCACAACAAACTGGAAAATTCTGAAAGAGATGGGAATACCAGACCACCTTACCTGCCTCGTAAGAAAACTGTATGCAGCTCAAGAAGCAACAGTTAGAACTGGACATGGAACAGCAGACTTGTTTGAATTGGGAAAGGAGCACGTCAAGGCTGTATGCTTATTTGACTTATATGCAGAGTACATCATGAGAAATGCTGGGCTGGATGAAGCACAAGCTGGAATCATGATTGCCAGGAGAAATATCAATAACCTCAGATATGCAGATGACACCACCCTTATGGCAAAAAGCAAAGAGGAACTAAAGTGACTCTTGATGAAAGTGAAAGAGGAGGGTGAAAAAGCTGGCTTAAAACTCAACATTCAAAAAACGAAAATCACAGTATCTGGTCCCAACACTTCATGGCAAATAGATGGGGAAACAGTGGAAACAGTGACAGACTTTATTTTCTTGGACTCCAAAATCACTGCAAATGTTGACTGCAGCCATGAAATTAAAAGATGCTTACTCCTTGGGTGAAAAGCTATGGCCAACCTAGACAGCATATTAAAAAGCAGAGACATTACTTTACTGACCAAGGCCTATCTAGTCAAAGCTATAGTTTTTCCAGTAGTCTTGTATGGATGTGAGAATTGGACTATAAAGAAAGCTGAGCACTGAATAATTGATGCTTTTGAACTGTGGTGTTGGAGAAGACTCTTGAGAGTCTCCCTGCAAGGAGATCCACCCAGTCCATCCTAAAGGAAATCAGTCCTGAATATTCATTGGAAAGACTGATTCCAATATTCATTGGAATACCATGTCCACCTGATGTGAAGAACTGACTCACTGGAAAAGACCCTGATGCTGGGAAGGATTGAAGGCAGGAGGAGAAGGGGATGACAGAGGATGAGATGTTTGGATGGCATCACCGACTCGATGGACAGGAATTGAGCAAGCTCTGGGGGCTGGTGATGGACAGGGAGGCCTGGTGTGCTGCGGTCCACGGGGTCGCAAAGAGGTGTACACGACTGAACTGAAGTGGAGAGATGTGAGCTGACTTTAGCCACGTGATTCCCAAGCTCCTTTCCACCACGTTATACCCTGGTACTGGGTGCTGTGTGCACTCTGCAGAGAGACACCAGTGATAACCCTCGTTCAGGAACACTCACCTTAGCTGTACTGACAAGGCTGGAATGTACAAGAGTATATATCATGATTCCTCGCTGGCATCTGATGAAAGCCAAACAAAATGAGAGTATATTAGGTGCTGAAGTAGACTAATTCTCCAGTGAGCCTCTTCGGAATTTACTGATGTAGGTTATTTAAGACTGGATTTTCATTTTGATGATTTATCTTTTAATATTTGCATTCTTTGAATATCCATGATAGACACATTGCAAAATAGAAAAAGATACACACTAACTAGTAAATTCCCCATCATTTTCAGTTAGAAAACAAAATTCATGTCCAGAAGGTTCAAATTCAGAGATGTTAATAAAGGGACCATTCGCAGCTGGGTGGGTAGGGTTAAGGGGACTAAAAAGGGGGATGTTGAAGCCCCAGAGATTAGCAACAGCTGAAGAAGGAAAGGTTCTTACTGGAGCCCAGTGAGAGCTGGGGCTAAGCGTATTCTAGACACTGCACCAAAGTGGGGAGACCTTATAGAAGAAATCTCTCCATCTTTCTCTCTTACCACCCTCAGATCCCTGCTGGTGCCTCCCATTGGCCAAATCCAAGAGGAAGTCAACCATCAGGGGGAACCAGATGATGGAGGCTGTGGAGGACAGACTCTGCAAGGAACACAGTAGAGAAAGGAAAATGAGTTCAAGTTTGTTTGGGTTGGAGTCAGACCCAGAAAACAATCAACATAGCACCACCCTAGACCCCTAAGCACTCCCTCTCCCCAATAACTATCATTCATGGTTTTTCATAACCATCTAGAAATAGTCTATGTATATAATATATGCCAACTCATTTTCTACATAAATAGTAGTGAACCCTTCCTTTGCTTCCCCTTGCTTTTTAGTCTTAGATTGGGACTGTTCTAGCATCCATGGGACTGCCTTGTTCTTGGAGACTAGAAGTCTTAAAAGTGTGGTCCTCCGACAGGCAGCAACAGCATCACTTGGGAAATTGTCAGAAATGCAAATAAGTCAGAAACTCTGGGAATGAGACTCAGCAATGTGTCTTAACAAGCCCTGTGGAGCATTTTGATGCACATTATAGTTCAAGAACCAGAGTTCTAGACTTTCTGAATGAGGCTAGCCTCATCTGATCAAGGCCTCTGGCTGCTCCCAGGTCATGTACCACAGTAGCTGGAGGACAGAGAACCACATTATCAGGCTCTCAGGGCCACGTCTTCCCACTCTATCTGAGAGTAACAGAAGCAAAAGCACCAAGTGTTGGTTCAGGGTCTGATACCAGCTCTCTGTACAAACGCGAACCCCCGAGCAGCATGGAAAGGAGGGGCTCACTGCCTTCCTCCCGACACAGCCTCCTCGCTCTCCTTCTGTCTGTGTGGCTCTTTGGATGCAGGCACTGGGTTTTAATGTGTTTGGTGGAATATGTGATGCAATACAAGCTAAATATAATCATGGAGCAGCACAATCACATGCTTAGGGTTGGCATTTGCTTGGAATCCACAACAGTGAGACTCACGATTCATCCCAGTTCCTCAGGGCCCTGACTCCCTCAGGAAGGTCTTGCCAGGCGTTTATCAGCTGTTGGTTAACACGGCTCAAACACAGCACATGAGGCAACGAACGGTCCACACAGGAGAAGGACACCTTGTCCTTCGGAAGCTTGCAAACCAGCCTGAGGTGTGGGAGGCTCTTTTTAGCACTGTGAATCCAAGACCCTCAGCGTGCCCTGGTTCCCCCATCTATAGAATGGCAGTGATAGAAATGGCAGCCACTATGGAGAACAGTGTGGAGTTTCCTTAAAAAACTAAAAACTGAGCTACCATGGATCCAGCAATCCCAGTCCTAGGCAAAGGATGCAGGCACTCCAGTGTTCATTGCAGCACTGTCGACTACAGCCAGGACATGGAAGCAACCTAATGTTCATCACCAGAGGCATGGATAAAAAAGATGTGGTTCGTATATACAATAGGATATTACCCAGCCATAAAAAAGAATGAAATGACAGACCTAGAGATTATCATACTATGTGAAATAAGTCAGCAGAGAAAGACAGATATTGTATAATGCTGCTAATATGTGGAATCCAGAAAAATGATACAGATGAACTTATCTGCAAAGCAGAAACAGAGTCACAGATATAGAGAACAAACTTACAGTTACCAAGAGGGGAAGGAAGAGGATGGATTGGGAGATTGGGATTGACATGTATACACTACTATGTATAAAATAAATAACATGTATAAAATAAATAACTCTTATGTATAAAATAAAGAACCTAAAAAAAGAGAAAAAAAAAAATAAAGAACCTACTATAGCATAGGGACCTCTGCTCAATGGTCTGCGGTGACCTAAACGGGAAGGAGCTCTTAAAAAGTGTGGATAAATGTATACCTGTAACTGAATTCACTTTGTTGCAGAGCAGAAACTAACAGCATTATAAAGCAACTACACTCCAATAAAAATTAATTTTTTAAAAAAGGAAAGAAATGGCAGGGCCACTGGCTTGCACAATTCCATGGAGCATCGTCCAGGCACAGTATGATGTGAGTAGTGCTCCCTGGAGGGTGAGAGTGGAATGAATGAATGAATAAGAGCCTCTTCCGGTGCCTGCTTCTGGGCTGAGCAATTCCACTGTGTGGCAAAAGGCTATGATGGAAGGCGTACTTTGAGTCAGGCAGTCTGGAATTGAGTCCAGCCTCTCTTTCTTTCTTAAATGAGGCAAACTCATTCAACTAGAGGTATTCCTTTGATGTATCACCTAGAGGCAAGCATGCAATAAATATTTGTTGAAAAACTCAATATACCTTTATGACTACTAGTTTCTCACTCAGTATAATGGGGTCAATAATATCATTTATCTCATAGGGATAAACTCAGATTAGTTGAGATTTAAATATTTGAACAAATGTTTTGAAAGGTCTGGCGCAATGGAAGGAATTCAATATGTGCCATTATAGTAACCATGTACCAGGGAATGATTTAAACACATTACAAAGATTCCGAACTTGGGATAGCATGTCCTGAGTCAGTCTCCAGAAATAGAGCTATTCTAGATTATTCATGATTAAATTTTCATTTCTATAAGGAACTGGAGAATCAGAGAGAAACATTTATAACAGTGGGAGCATGATCCCGGCTGTATATCAGATTCACATGTGCTCATGCTAAGCTGCTTCAGTCGTGTCCGACTCTGCGACCCCATGGACTGTAGCCCACCAGACTCCTCTGTCCATGGGATTCTCCAGGCAAGAATACTGGAATGGGTGTTATTTCCCTCTCCAGGGGATCTTCCAGACCCAGGGACCAAACCCACATCTCTTACATCGTCTGCACTGGCAAGTGGGTTCTTTACCACTAGCGCCACCTGGGAAGCCCAGGTTCACACAGGGAGCTTCTAAAAATTGACAATTAAGTCAAATCCTGGGTCATGGGTCTTGAGTATGGCTATTTTTAAAAACTGCCCCCTGTGAGTCTAAGGTGTAACCACAAGGGAGAACTCTGACTTTTGGACACCTATTACATGCCAAGTGTGTTAGATGTTAGACAAACAGCATCTTCTTCATCCCTCACGACAACTCTGCATACTAGGTATTGTATGCTTATTTCACAGATGAGGAAATCAAGGATCAGAGGCTCAAGAAAAATCACCAGGGTCACAACCAGTGTGACAGATCCCAGCATGGAAACCTAACCTGGAACCACCTGACTCTGAGGCCAGTGCTCTGAATTTCACTGCTTTGCACTCCATCTGAAAGGATCCTGTAGGAAGGGCATCACAAGAGGGCACTGGGCCAAGAAAAAGGAGACAAGGGAAGGATCCAGGGACCAACTGAAGTTTGGTCGCTAGGACAAGTCACAGCAGTATCACCAGGACAGAAAGGTGAAGCCCAGAATGCCCCACGTTACTTCCGACCAGCGCCCCTTTGGGCTGAGGCTGGGCTTGTGGCGGGCTCACCAGCCTCTGTTGCTCAGTCAAGCCCAACATTCAGGACAGTGTCTGCCTGTGCTCTCCCGTGTGGCAAAAGGTCACTTACAGCAGAAAATATGGGAGTTGTTTTCCTTTCCAAATAAGTGATGTTTCTTGGTAAAATGCCAAGGAAATTCCTAAAAGTGTCAGAAATGGAGTTTCTAAGTGTATTTTTAGCAAAGAATGATTGGTTTTGTGGCAGTAATTGACAGCTTCCTATGTGAACCAAATCCAAAATGTTACAAAATATCAGAGTTTGCATCCAAGACAAACTAGCCCTCTTGTACATTTGTAATTGTGACATGGGCTCAATTCTCTTTGGGTCTAGATGTTGAGTTTTTACTGTGAATACCAACATCCTGTAACTGACTATAAGATGTGAAACTCTGAGCTTGGATGGAGACAAACAAAATGTTTCTGTTCTTCTATAAAAGAATTATATTTCACTTCCATAAAACTATCTTCCAAAGCAATTGGGTGGGACAGGGGAAGGGAAATAGCACATTTTTTGGTTATGAATTCAGTTTGTTTGGTTCTCTTGGGCACAAGCCAACAATTGGATGGTCAAATAAGAGACCTCAGGGAATAAAATCTCTGCAAAGCTAACTTCATAATCTTATTAGCAGTTTGGACTATCCATAGTTCTTACAAATTACCATTAAATTATTGGGAAGTAAGCTAACTTTCTGAGGTTCCTCATCTGCAAATGAAGGGGGATGAGGTAGGACTTGATATTCAGAGAAATTTCGAGGCCAGAAATTCCATGCTTCTCTGAAACTCTACTGACTGAACTGACTCTTTAGGTCAGAATTTAAAATTCCATGCTTCTCTGAAAGCCACCACAAGCCCAGCCTCAGCCCAAAGGGGAACTAGTCAAAATAATGTTTCCCTTTTTTTGAGAAAATAAGTTATTTTTATTTATCAAAAGACTAGTTCAATAGAACCATTTCCCCAAATTTTTTTTGACTCTTTACATGACAGTGATTTTATAATGTAACTTTCTATATGGGGAACATAAAGGTAATTAAGCCTCTACTCTACCAAGGGTGATGGAGATGGAAATGGCAACTCCAATATCCTTGCCTGAGAAATCCCACAGGCAGAAGGAGACTGGTGGGCTAGCCTATGGGATCGCAGAGAGTTGGACATGACTGACTGACACACACAGACACGCTACTATGGGTGATAGAAATTATTTTTTTTAAAGAAACAAATAGAAGCAAAATTTTTAAAATCACACCAAGAGCAGTAAATGATCAAGAGGAAGGAATACATTTCAGATAAAAGTAAGAAATGGATTCTTGGACAGCTTCAGTTCAGTTCAGTCACTCAGTCATGTCCACCTCTTTGTGACCCCATGGACTGCAGCACGCCAGGCCTCCCCGTCCATCACTAACTCCCACAGCTTGCCCAATTCATGTCCATCGAGTCAGTGATGCCATCCCAACATCTCATCCTCTGTCATTCCCTTCTCCTGCCTTCAATCTTTCCCAGCATCAGGGTCTTTTTCAATGAGTCAGCTCTTCACATCAGGTGGCCAAAGTACTGGAGTTTCAGCTTCAACATCAGTCCTTCCAATGAATATTCAGGGATGATCTCCTTCAGGATGGACTGGTTGGATCTCCTTGCAGTCCAAGGGATTCTCACGAGTCTTCTCCAACACCACAGTTCAAAAGCATCAGTTCTTTGGCACTCAGCTATCTTTATGGTCCAACTCACACCCATACAAGACTACTGGAAATGCTATAGCTTTGACTAGACGGACCTTTGTTGGTAAAGTAATGTCTCTGCTTTTCAATATGCTGTCTAGGTTGGCCATAGTTTTTTGTCCAAGAAGCAAGTGTCTTAATTTCATGGCTGCAATCACCATCTGCAGTGATTTTAGAATCCAAGAAAATAAAGTCTGTCACTGTTTTCATTGTTTCCCCATTTATTTGCCATGAAGTGATGAGACTGGATGCCATGATCTTCGTTTTTTGAATGTTGAGCTTTAAGCCAACTGTCTCACTCTCCTCTTTCACTCTCATCAAGAGGCTCTTTAGTTCTTCTTCGCTTTCTGCCATAAGGATGGTGTCATCTGCATATCTGAGATTATTGATGTTTCTCCTGGCAATCTTGATTCCAGCTTGTGCTTCCTCCAGCCCAGCATTTCTCATGATGTATTCTGTATATGTCAAATAAGCAGAGCAACAATATACAGCCTTGATGTACTCCTTTCCCAATTTGGAACCAGTCTATTGTTCCATGTCCAGTTCTAACTGTTGCTTCTTGACCTGCATACAGGTTTCTCAGGAGGCAGGAAAGGTGGTCTGGTAAGCTTAAATATAAAAAGCTTAAACACAGCTTAAGCATGAAATTAATGAAAAGTAAAATGCCTGACCACATTGAAAAA